GTCTCGGGTAGTTGGCAAAGCCAGGCTTTGGCGTCGGGGTCAGGGCCCGAAGGAAAGGGGGGACGCGGAGAGCCCTGCTGCCCTTTATAACTCGGGTTGTGAAATCTCGGGGTTGCAGCGGGGTCTGGAGGGGGTGCGCACGCAGCGGGGCCGTACCGCGTTGGGGCAGGTGCTCTGGCACCAGCAAGAAGGGTTTCTGCGCGAGCTCTTTCAGACCTCGGATGGCCACGATGCCAAAACAGCGGTGAGGTGTCAAACCCCCCTAAAACTGGGGACCTCCCCCCCCCTTGCTGTTTCTCTCCCTGCATGGAGCCCTTTTACCACCCCCCGGGCAGGACAAGGCGTCCCCGGCTCTGCAGCGGCCGGAGGGAGAGAGGAGCAGAGGGATGCTGCGGCGGCCGCAGGGGACTGGGCCCCCTCTGAGCCGGGGCTCTGCCGGGCCTCGGGGGGGCCCCGGGGAAAGGGCAGCCGTCCCTGTGCCGCCGGCGGGGGGAGAGCGGTGCCTCTCCCCTCCTCATCCCTCAGATTTGGTTTCCCAGGAAGGGATGTGAAAGGCAGGTCGGGGGGCAGCAGGGCGTCTCAGGGGAACGCTGGCAGGGAAGAGCTCAGTTAACATAAAACGCCATAAATCCCTTCCCCGAGCGCCTCGCGCCTTCATTTGCTTGCTCGGGGAAGGCTGTCGTTATTTTGCTAATTGGAAAATACCACCTAATTTAATTCCTGTGCTGCACACTGCAGTCACTCCGTGTCTCTCTGGGCGATGCCTTGGAAATCCGGTGAAGTTGCTGCTGAGAGCTCATTGGCAAAGGATGTTTTGGGGGAAAAAGCTCTGAAAGAAATGGAAAATTGGAAATTCTCTCCTGTTCTCAAAAGAAATGGAGGGTTTTTAAAAGGGGTGTTTTCCCTTCTGCAGAGAAAGTTGGTCCTGAAAACTTCTTTATTTTCATGTTAAAAACCCCACCAGGAAACATGGAAAGAACTGGAGCCTCGTGCTGAGGTGCGGGAGTTTTCCAGGGCGTGAAAAGAGGCTGTTTTGGGTAAATCTCCATAATGTTGCAGTATTACGATGTCAACGGGGATTTCCAGCGCTAAACAGCAAAATGCTCCTTAAGCTGAGCTCAGTCCATACATGACGTGAGTTTAGGACGTTCTCAGCTGTGGTTGTACTGAGCGTTTATCTGCTGCAGACGGAGGTTTATGTCTGTGCGGAGGTTGGGGGACGAGAGGGGACGTCCAGCCCTGTCACAGCCTTCTGGGTTAGTGACTCCATTGCTTTTAGCAAAAAGCCCTCCTCCTGCTGCTATCCCAAGGGCGGTCCCCGTGGCCCGCGCGGAGGGGTCCCCCAGCCACGTCACACCAGCCCGGCTGATACTTTACGCTCTAACGCACTGCAATTTCCATCTTTGCTTATTAAAATCCAAACCTGGATGGTTTTGGGGGGGTTGATCACCTCTGCAGCACCTGAATGTGTGCGCATCCGAGGGGAGGGGGAAGATGGTACCCCAATACGGAGTGACCGTCCACCCGAGGCAAGTCCGGCTCTTCTGCCGCACGACGAGTGGGCTCTGGGGCTGCCTGAGTTTCGGGGGG